TTTTTATTGCTGAATAGTATGTCATCTTATGTATGTATCACACATGTTTATCCATTCACCAGTTGGTTACCAAATTTTGGCTATTTCTGAACTTTGACAGCAGCATTATATATAACAGAAGTAACACCAATCACCAAAGTAGTGATTGTTTATTGTGCATATCCTGGGAGCATTCAAACCATGGAATGAGGCTCAAGGGTATATTATCAAATAGCTTATATAGTGGGAAAGCAGTGACTGTTTATTCTTCCCAGTGATTAATAGGGAATTGGTCAGTGGTCACCTCATAATCAACCTTGGGAAACATTTCAAGTTTTGCATAAGCAAGAAATGACCCAGGTCAAGTTAATCCTGCAAAATAAACTAAGTTTATTGTGTATGACTAAACTGGTTTTGTCGGCCCAAGGAATTTTTAAGGCTGGTCTCCATTTGTTTTTAATAATTACCCCCTTTTGGTCATTTCCTTAGCAGGCTGAGAATACTATTAACCAGTATAGTGTTATTCTCAGTTACCACCATTAATTTAGTCACGCTGAAGAATCACATGTTCAGGGTTTTCATCCAATTGAGTTGTCAGACTGGAGGGCCATGTAGTCACCGTCTTCATCACATCTGTCGTTATTGTTGAGTTCATCCTGTTGTCTGATAATTGGTATGTCAGTGGCTACGGACAGGCATTAAAAACCCTCAAGAGTATACAATGCACTGGAGAGGTGAATATGATGACTGTAAGGAAAACATCACCAAGGACTGAAAAATTCCCGAGTGGAGATAACCACTTGGAAAAAAAAAAAAATGAAACCCATTTATATAGGCACAACATGATGTATTAGCATTCACATCCTTGTGATTACTTAAAACATCCTTATATTCGTCCTGTCCTGTTTCAGTTGAGCTTTCACCTAAATTAGGTCTCTATATAATGTGAGCAAACAGGTAATTTAACGAGGCGCATTTCAGTGGAAACAAAAGAGAAAGATTAATAGCAAATTGGAGAGCTGTTAGTTGAGAACATTTCTAGTGTTGGGTTCAGATGGAGTGGGGGCAAGCAGTGAGAGTCTGACAGATTTTCCTGGTTTGCAATGTGAATGAGACATATGAGCTGTTGTGAGGAATTCTCTGGTTTATATCAGGTTGCGCAGCTTTAAGCTTGCATGGCTCTGGGAAAAGGGCAGTTTTAGTTTCATACTGATTCTAAGTCAAAACTGGACATGTTAGTTTGGAGAGTTCTAGCCAAATACTGGAACAAACTAGAAGAATTCAGGATCTAGTCTAGTTTACAGGTAGAAAACAAACCTCAAAGACAACAGCACTAGAATCCAGTATCCACAAAGGTATATTATTGAAAGGTAATTGTAAGATTTTATTTTTATGTTTTTTAAAGCTTTTATTTATTTATATATTTGTCAGGGAGAGAGAGCACACAAGCCGAGGGAGCAGCAGGCTCCCTGCTGAGCAAGGAGCCTGACTCGGGACTTGATCCCAGGACTCTGGGATCATGACCTGAGCCGAAGGCAGACACTTATCCGACTGAGCCACCCAGCTATCCTGAAAGGTAATTTTTCTCATCACTCCCGTTATGATCAGAGATAATGACAGTAGACTAATTTGTTTGCAAATTAAATCTAGTTTCAATAAAGTTGGCCTATTAGTTACAGAAGTGCAGCAAGAATAGGGATTGACTGCTTTGCTGGGACGTTTCATAAGGAATCTCGGATTGGACTTTCAAAAGCTTGAGGCTAGGAAGCCAAGCCTAGGACTTACCGAACTGTGTCCTGTTACAAAGAGAACAGATTCTTACTGAACTAACATTTGTTTTTGGGAGGGAGAGACAGCGAGTGTGCATGCATGCAAGTGCGAGCAGGGGTGGGTGGGGCAGGGGGAGAGAGAGAATCTTAGGCAGCCTCTATGCTCAGTGTGGAGCCGTACAGGGGGCTCAGCCTCACAACCCTGAGATCATGACCTGAGCCGAAATCAAGAGTCAGACACTCAACTGACAGCCACCCAGGCGATCCTGAACTAATTAAATGGTTTTTCAAAATCTGGAGAGATCCCGTGGAGATAGAGTGATAAATGCTTCAGCCTTTGTTGCAAACATACATTTTACCAAATTGCTGTAAGTTATAGATAGCTTAAGAGAGGAGAAAAAGGGGTCCTCTAAATCTAAAAAATATTAAAGAACCAGCAGTGTTTTAAATGAAATCATAAAAATTCTAGTCATCTTCATAAGTTCATTTAGTTGTATGTAATTCTTGTTTTGTTTCATCTTGGGTTAGCAGCTTTATGAATCAGTTTTCCATTAGAGCTTTAGAAATTCTTACCCAGTTCAGTGTTATGAAAGTTGCCAGAAGCCTGCATCTTTGAATAATTGTCAAGATCTTTCCCATGAATTTCTTTCAAAATGAAGCATTTCTGCAGGAACACTTCTGCAAAACCATCAGAGTTAAACAACTACTGTCTGTAAATGGCAAAAGACTTAAAAAATAGCCACTTACAAATCTGGCAAGAATTCTTATATATATACCCCCAAGATGATGCAACTGGCAAGTAAATTTGGTTATTTTTTTATGATCTACAATATTTTAAGATCATACTTGAAACTATGACTGATAACACTATACCAAGACATGAAATTCTTAAAAATCTTATAATTTCTGAATTATTTTAATGACCTATATATCCCAGAAATAGGATCTAAGAAGGTTAAGCAATTTGACGTTTCCCATGCAATTTAATGTATCAAATAAACCTAAATAAATTAATACTTCTCTTTTTCATTCAGAATTTGATTTGGGGAAATTTGTCAAAAATGTCAGAAGATTTAAAACATTTGATCCAATATGATCACTCGTCACTGTGAAACAATACTTAGTTATCCATTCAACCAAAGTGACAGAAGATTTCAAAGGCAAATACATAAAAGTTTCATAGTTGTAAAAAACCTTAGCTTTTTTAATAGAGAAGATTCAAAGGCTTGAAGCACAGCTAATATTTTCATAAGACAGATTTTTGTTTCCTACGCAAATTACATTAAAGTTAAAAAACCACTTCGTTTACAATTTCTTATTAAAAGCAGACCAATAATCTAAGAAAAAAAAAAGTGGCTCTTTTAACAGAGAGGAAACCAAATTTTAATGTGCATCAGTGTACTTTTGATATTAAAAGTCTTTTTAAAACAAATCCATTCTAATCTTGGCTTGATCACATGTAAGATTCCTTTCTTCTGGAACAATAATTTTACTTCAGGACAAAATTATTTTTTCCCTAAAAAAACAAGGTAAAAACAAAGTCCTTCATACCTTTCCTTAGCCAAAAAATAGATTGTTTTCCTTAACTTTTTTTTTTTTTTAAGTAGGCTCCACGCCCAACATGGAACCCAACATGGGGGCTTGAACTCAAGACCCTGAGATCAAGACCTGAGCTGAGATCAGGAGTTGGACACTTAACTGACTGAGCTACCCAGGTGCCCCTCCTTACCTACTTTTCATCTACAGTTCGTTTTTTTATCCCTATTATTTCTAGTAATTTTAATTACATATATTAGGATTCTTAACTGTTCACTAGGAATTAAAGATCCTAAGAAAAAAGCAATTGTGGATTGACAAATTTATAAATATATCTCATAGTTTCTAGAAGTGTATTCTTCCTCATAAATTTTTTGGTGTGGCACCAACCATGTTTATTAATGGACCCAAGTATATTTTATATCTGTGTAGAAAATTAAAAAGCCAAAAGTAGGTAAACATTAAATGCTAAATATAAGTTTAGAAATGATTTAGATATCCAATGAATATCCATCATTCAGTTAAAATTAGTATAAACTTCAAGTTATTGCTTTAAACACTCATGTTTGGAGTAGGCATCGAGCAACTAACCATCTTATTTTTCTTTTTGGCAAACTTTGAAGACATACCTGCTTTTATTAAACCAGCAAACTTAAACAAGTTTTTATTTATCTAAGATTATCTCAGATCATATAATCTTGAAAAACATCTGGGTTAGTTCCTATACTTCTGAGAGTATACTTGATAAAACACTTAATTTTCTTTAAGAGAATTAAATAGAACTCTTTGCAATTTAATTTTGGTAATACCATCTGGAAAAAGAAAAATATCACACCTATAATATACATAAGCATACATAAACATACAGACATCCACAGAGATCTTAGAGCTTTTGTTGTGAAAATTTTACCCACATCTCAGGTACAAAAGTCAAAAGAATTGTTGGATCCAAGCTGTTTTTATTTTTTTGAGAGAGCGTGCATGCCTGCAAGAGTGGAGGCGGTAGGAGTAGAGGGAGAGAATCTTAAGCAGGCTCCAAGCCCAGCACAGAGCCTGATGAGGGGCTTGATCTCATGACCCCAAGATCATGACCTGAGTAGAAATCAAAAGTGGGACACCCAACCAACTGGAGCCACCCAGGTGCCTCCCAAACTGTGTTTCTGACAGATGGACTAAGTTAAGTTTATGTGCTCAGATGGCCAAAGATTTTTTATTTGCATGCTCTAGGGATGCTTTCAGAGTTCTTTTTGGAGTCATTTTTGTCTTTAATTTCTGCATATCGGTGAAAGGATGCATTCCATGGTCTCTGAGAGGTTTGGAATCTTCTCTTTTAAGGGTGGGGCTTCTTAAGGTGGACCTATCTACATTAAAGGTTCCCCAAAGTGGGCACCACAATTTCAAAAGTTCACTCATTTTCCAAAAAGGCACAAGAGCCTCATCCATAGACCAGGTGGAAACAATCTTTGCCTTTAAATGTCTAAACTGAGAGAGGCCCTGTTTTCTAATGGTTTTAAAACACAGGGAAATCACATTCCAGCCCCCCCAATTCACTGAATAGAATGACTTACCAAGAAGCTCCAACAAGCAAAATGCAGGTGTGCACTATAAAGGTAGAGAGCTCAAAACAAAGAGCAGAGCTCAGATCCCAGAGAGACCTACCCTCAAGTTCCATTAGTGAGAAAGCAGTGAGTTCCGTGGGCTTCGTGGGTACCAGCACCTGTTTGTTCACCTTCCTTGGAGACATTCGGGGTCTTCTTTGGATCCCATTTCTGTTGCCAGGACATGGCAGAAGTTCAGAAACAGTAGAAGTAAAACCAACCCATCACCAAAGTAGTAATTAGTAAAATTACTACTAAAGTGTCTCGTATACACACCGGGAGCACTCAAACCAAAACGTGGAATGAGGCTCAGAGGAATGTTTGTTATCAAGCGGCTTATATAGTGAGAAAGCAGCAGCTGTTTATTCACAGTCTTTGGTTATATTAGAATTTTCTTAAATGGTAGGGAATTGGTCAGTGTGTTACCGCCTACCAACTTTGGGAACTGTTCAAGTTTTGCTTATGAAAATCATAAGCTGAGTATATCTCAACATAAACATGTTTTCATTTATCTTCCTAGGTTCATACAACTGGAATTGTTGGGTTGTATGGTAACGATTTTTAAGAAACTACTAAACTTATCCACAGGGGCTGTACTATAGCATATTCCCATCTGCACAGTATGAGGTTTTTGGTTTCTTTTCATCCTTTCTAACACTGTATGTCTTTTTCTTTGCTTAGAGCCATCTTACTGGGTGTGAAGTGGTGCCTTCTTGTGGTTAAATCCGTGTAGTTTTTCCTAAGGGAAATGATTGCTCTCTAGTGGTGCATTCTGCACATTACAATTGGAATAAGGGCACTAATGAGAAGCCTAAAGCTAAAACTTGTTAAAACTTACATTCATTTCATGTTGTTCCTGCATCGCTTAGCACACTGAGTGCAATTTGAGGCCCAAGTTCAAAATGTTTTCCTCATTACCACTAAGAATAATCCTCAGGAGCTGGCTGTTCGCTATGGTTTTTACTTAATCCCCAGAGGTACGGTATAGTCAAAACTCTACGCTTTTGTGTTTCAGATCTCCTCCACTCTATGAGGCAGATCTCTCAGTGTATGGCTTTACACCTGTGAGCGGCTAATGCCTATGAATAAGGGGAGGAAGAAGACAGAGACAGTTGTGTGGACTCCCACCTACCATATCCTTTCAAGCCAGAGCCAGAGAAGTAAATAATTCTTACTAGTGGAATGAATGTAAATTCTTTTTAATGAATTGCACACAAATGGAATGCCGGGTGGCTCCTTGGTATTTTCAGGTGACACTTTGTAAATATGCCTGTAAAGAGTCGTAAAGTTTTAGGAGAATGGGTCTCGGCTGACCCCAGGCTCCTGGGCTCTGCTGAAAGGAGAGAGCGCTATGCACATTAAAAATAGCAAAGAAATTGAGCCAAGGAAGGAACCTGGACAGGGATTTACTTACTTACAGGAATGTATATTTGGTAAGTAATGAAAGATGTGGCTTCAGGAAATTAGGGAAGCAGAACCAAACATTTAATGGTTTAATGTAAGAACCTACAACTTTTGCTTTAAAACAACAGGATATTGCACTTTTTTTTTAACGAAATGTCCATATGTGAAGTTTCCCTAACTTCCTGTGTTTTACGTAAATGCATTGTGCTAACAATGCACTTAACCATCCTTACATGTCTATTAAGTAATCATGGATATTCATTTGTGTGTATACATACACATACATACATATGTGTATGCAAATACCTGAACACAGAGGAGTAGAGAATATAATGGATGGGCCTCCCCGTGGTTGATTTCCTGTTCCAGTCCAATGGAAGCCAGAGGAAGTAAAGAGACCAAGCCATCTGTGTGTGACATTTCTGTACACAGTAATTCTACTCCGTAGTTAAAATATAGTCGAATTCGCTCTTATGTTCCCAATCGAGGTGGATACAGGGGTATAAGGTTTAGGATAGGAGAAAGTCTACTCAACTTCAGGTTAAGCACTGGAGAGAAGGGAAAATTAAAATACTCTGGAATTAAAATAATTTTAAACATGTATTAGAACTTTAAAAATGTTGCCATAATGAATATTTCTATATATAAAGAATATGTAGAAATTTTGAGTAATGCAGTGATGCTGCCATCATGACCAAAAGGAACATAAGGAGATACTGGAATTATTTAATAGGGACATTTTTTTCCCTCTGCCTTTTGAAAATTGGTGTTTTAGAGCCAAGTCTGGTGGACAGTATTGTTTAATTCTTCCCAGAAAAACGACCATAAAATAAGGTGTATGCTTACCCATCTAGTCCTGCGAACAACTTTAAAGTGTTCTACATCTGTTTGGAACAATGCTCATACATGTGTACAACCACCCCCCACCCCAAGATGATGATATTGAAGGACAGTGATCTTTTTAGTAAGTTCTGTGTATCTCTAAAGTTTAACCCATCACATTTAACAAATATATTACTAACATTTTTCACTTCATAGACTTTAGGATAGCCTTTCTTTTTTGTTACAGGTGAGGAAAGAGTACCAGACATTCAGGTGACTTGCACAAGGTAGAGGATGGTTATTGCTTTTGGCTGCTGGTCGTTTTTCCTAGACACTGCATTATGAAAGTGAGAAGCGTCCTGCTGGGCCAAGGCATTCAGCCTTCAAAGTCATTGGTTTCTGAGCTAAAGTTTTATTTGGTCCTACTGTTCTCCAACTTGGAGGGCCTTGGGGGCGGCGGTAATTCATGCTGTTGCCTGTTTCAGTTATTTCATATTTGCTGGGGTTTTAACCTTTAAAGCTTACTTTGCATTGTTCATGACTTTAGAACTTTTGTTTTATGCTAGTTTCTTTAAAGGTTTATCACTAAATTTTGTTTTATTGTACTTTATTAAATAATACATGTACTCATAAAAAGAAAAAAACTAATTTCTGCAAGCACTAGAGGTATACTTGTGTTATTCTAGGAAGTGGAGAAAATCTACAAGTCATATGTAAAGCAACATCAGACTTGGAAAACCCCCACTGGGCGAGTCATTGTATAATGACTGCAGATTCTCAGGACTTCCTTCTCAAGTTCTATTTTATATAACTTCTAATTCCTACCCACAATCCAATTTTATGAATTGTCTCTAATACAATCCAAAAGTGGTTAAATGTTAAAACAGAGTTAGGATACTGGTTGTAGATGACATTAAAACAGCCTATTTAAAAAACAAAACAGCTTATATTGGGGTGCCTGGGTGGCTTAGCTGATTAAGTGTCTGACTCCTGGTTTCGGCTCAAGATCTCAGGGTCCTAAGATCGAGCCCCACACCAGACTCTGCACTCAGTGCTCAGTCTGCTTTTCCCTCTCCCTCCCACCTGCACATGTGTGTGTGTGCTCTCTCTCAAATAAAGAAAATCTTAAAACCAAAAAACGAAAAACGAAAAAAAAAAAAGCTTATATAAGCCACATTTCCTCCAGTTCATTCTTATAAGCAAAGTCCATCATAAAAGACAAATCTGTATCATAATTTGGGTCTCACCTTTTACTAGCTGCTTGACTATAACTTACTTTAAGTTTTATCATCTGTAAAGCATGATAGTGACTAATTTGAAAGGTAATTTTAAAAATAGAGACTGTGAGGCACCTGGGTGGCTCAGATGGTTAAGCGTCTGCCTTCGGCTCAGGTCATGATCCCGGGGTCCTATGATCGAGTCCCGCATCGGGCTCCCTGCTCCTTAGGAGCCTGCTTCTCCCTCTGCTTCTCTCTCTCATGAATAAATAAAATCTTTAAAAAATAAATAAATAAAAATAAAATAAAATAAAAATAGAGACTATGGAAACTATACAGCACACACAGTTTAACCCACATTCCTTTTCCCTTCCCCGTGTTTCCATTTTCTATGTCTATTGTGCCATAGGGATGGGGATGTATCATGGATGTAGTAAATGAAAGGAAAAAAGGCTGAGTATTTCCATTTTGCTCCGGGGAATTTAGGACAAATACACAGGGCACAAGAGGAGTGCTGTCCTCTGCCTAATAGATAAACTGGCTAATGCCACACTGTCAAGCTTGAAATAACTCAGTCTGAACAGTGTAGCCACAGGGTGTTAGTTTTACAAAAGCATCTATACTAGGACTGGCTGGAGGCAAGGACAACGGCAATCTGGATGGGAAAGTACCAAATCTGAAGTTACCTGTCACCTGGATGGAAATGAGACACACCATCCGGAAGCTGGGCACCCTGCCCTATGCTCTGTGTTAACACATTCTGAAGCGTGTCATTGACACAAAGCAATCACTCAGACTACTGAATGGACAGAAGTAAACTTCACAGGGATAAGAAATCAGTCTTCCCTTGTTCTTTTAACTTTCATATAAAATAAGCAAATACCAGGTTAATAGGACTGTAGTCAAATGAGGCTCGGGACTGACCTGTGACTAATTTGATCAGAGATTTGATCTCTGTAGGCCACAAAGAAACCTATGGTGAAGTTCATTCTGTAAAAACAGTGGGCTTCAAAACTGCCAATATTTCACAGCTTTCAATTTATCTAGGATAACTATCATTTGCTTGGACAAGTAATATGTTTTAAAGATTAATGGACCTTCAAATTCTTTATGTCAGTGTTGTGCATGCAGTTTCACTTACCTAGGGATCGATCATTGCCTCCTACAGGGTTGGAAAAAAAGAAATGGGAATTGTAAGCAGCTCGTGGATGATGTTTTCTGAGGTGCAAGCTATGGAGCAAACTTGGGAAGGGTTATACAGTGGGTTAGAGACAATCACCAACCTAGTCCAGGTTTCTTAATTTACAAATTAGAAGAAAAAAGATAACCTCATAGAAAATGAGCTAAGCACAGGAATAGGCAATTCCACAGAACCAGAAACAAATGGCCAATAAATGTATGACAAAATGGTCAATTTCAGTTGTCAAGAGAGGTGTGAATTGTAGAAGGTTTTTCATATTGTATCCAAAGCTGGCAAGGATGTATGCCCAACCTGATAAAGGCCTTATATAAAAAAACCCACAGTCAACATCATAGTCAATGGTGAAAAACTGAGAGCCTTACCCCTAAGGTCAGAGCAAGACAAGGATGTCCACTCTCACCACTTTTATTCAGCACAGTACTGGAAGTCCTAGCCACAGCAGTCGATAACAAAAAAGAAATAAAAGACAGCCACATTGGTAAGGAAGGAGTAAAACTCACTACTCACTATATGCAGATGACAGGATACTAAATATAGAAAACCCTGAAGACTCCACCAGGAAACTACTAGAACTGATAAATGAATTCAGTAAAGTCGCAGGATACAAAATCTATGTACAATGCAATCTGTTGCATTCGTATGCACTAATAATGAAGCAGCAGAAAGAGAAATTAAGAAAACAATGCCATTTATAACTGCATCAAAAAGAATAAAATACCTATTTAACTAGGAAGGTGAAAGACCTACCTATACACCGAAAACTGATAAAAAAAAAAAAAACCCTCTAAAACACTGACTAAAGAAACTGAAGATGACACAAAGAATGGAAAGACATTCCATGCTCATAGGTTGGAAGAAAAAATGCTGTTAAAATGTCTGTACTAGGGGAGCCTGGGTGGCTCAGTCGGTAAGCGTCTGCCTTCGGCTCAGGTCATGATCCCAGGGTCCTGGGATCGAGCCCCGCATGGGGCTCCCTGCTCCACGGGAAGCCTGCTTCTCCCTCTCCCTCTCTCCCTGCTTGTGTTCCTTCTCTCACTGTGTCTCTCTCTGTCAAATAAATAAATAAAATCTTAAAAAAAAAAATGTCTGTACTACTCAAAGCAATCTACAGGTTTAATGTAATCCCTATCAAAACACCAGCAGCATTTTTCACAGAACTAGAACAAACAATCCTAAAATTTGTATGAAACCATGAAAGACCCTGGATAGCCAAAGCAATCTGGAAAAAGAGAAAGAAAACTGGAGGTATCACAATTCTAGATTTCAAATTATATTATAAAGTGGTGGAAATTAAAACAGTATGGTACTAGCATAAAAATAGACCCATAGATCAGGGCGCCTGGGTGGCTCAGTCGTTAAGCGTCTGCCTTCGGCTCAGGTCACGATCCCAGGGTCCTGGGATCGAGCCCCACATCGGGCTCCCAGCTCAGCGGGAAGCCTGCTTCTCTTTCTCCCACCCCGTCTGCTTGTGTTCCCTCTCTCGCTGTGTCTCAAATAAATAAAAATAAAATCTTTTAAAGAAAAAATAGACCCATAGATCAATGGAATAGAAAACTCCAAAATGAACCCATAATTGTGTGGTCAATTAATCTTAATTAATAAAGGAGGGATGAATATACAATGGAAAAGATAGTCTCTTCAACAAATGGTGCTGGGAAAACTGGACAGCCACATGCAAAAGAACGAAACTACAGACCACTTTCTTTCACCATACAAACTCAAAATGGATGGAAGACCTAAATATGAGACCTGAAATCATAAAATCCTTGAAGAGAGCACAGATAGTCATTTCTCTGACGTTGGCCATAGCAACATTTTTCTAGCTATGTCTCCTGAGGCAAGGGAAATAAACTGTTGAGACTACATCAAAATAAAAAGCTTCTGCACAGGGGCGCCTGGGTGGCTCAGTTGGTTAAGCGACTGCCTTCGGCTCAGGTCATGATCCTGGAGTCCCGGGATCGAGTCCCACATCGGGCTTCCTGCTCAGCAGGGAGTCTGCTTCTCCCTCTGACCCTCCCTCCTCTCATGTGCTCTCTCTCATTCTCTCAAATAAATAAATAAAATATTAAAAAAAAAAAAAGCTTCTGCACAGTAAAGGAAACAATCAACAAAAAAAAGCAACCTACTGAATGGGAAAAGATATTTGCAAATGACTTATCCGATAAAGAGTTATTATCCAAAATACATAAAAAACTTATACAACTCAACATCTAAAAAAACAATCCAATTAAAAAATGAGTAGATGACATGAATAGACATTTCTCCAAAGAAGACATACACATGAAAAGGTGCTCAACAGCACTCATCATCAGTGAAATGCAAATCAAAACCACCATGAGGGGGACGCCTGGGTGGCTCAGTCAGTTAAGCGACTGCCTTCAGCTCAGGTCATGGTCTCAGGGCCCTGGGATCGAGTCAAACGTTAGACTCCTTGCTCAGCAGGGAGCCTGCTTCTCCCTCTGCCTGCCACTCCCCCTGCTTGTGCTCTCATGCGCTCTCTCTCTGGCAGATAAAATCTTTAAAGGAAAAAAAAAAAAGCCAAAACAAAAACAAAAACAAAAAAACCCCACCATGAGGTATTACCTTATACCTCTCAGACTGGCTAAAATAAAAAACACAAGAAATAACAAGTGTTGGTGAGGATGGAGAGAGAAAGGAATCCTCTTGCACTGTTGAAAGAAATGCAAACTAGTACAGCCACTGCAGAAAATGGTATGGAGGTTTCTCAAAACATTAAAAATAGAACTACCCTATGATCCAGCAGTCACACCACTGAGTATTTGCCCCCAAAATACAAAAACACTAATTCAAAGGAATACATGCACTCCTATGTTTATAGCAGCATTATTTACAATAGCCAAACTATGGAAGCAGCCCAAGTGTCCACCGATAGATGAATGGATAAAGATGTGTTATATACAACATGAGAAAATTATTCAGCCATAGAAAAGAATGAAATCTTGCTATCTGCAACATGGGTAGAGCTAGACAGTATAATGCTAAACGAAATGTCAGTGAGAGAAAGACAAATGCCGTATGATCTTATTCATTATGTGGAATTTAAGAAACCAAACAAATGGAAAAAAAAAAAAGAGACAAACCAAGAAACAGACTCTTAACAATAGAGAACAACCTAAAGGTCAACCAGAGAGGAGGTTGGGGGATGGGGTAG